ATTGTCTACTAAATATTTATTAGATTTTGACTGTTATAATGCTAAGACATTAAAAGAGAAAGATTGAAAAAGCGAAAATTTAAATAAAAGTTCCGTCAAATATGGCTATTGTCAATTGGGGATACTAAAGATAAATAATTGTTCATAAAATCAAATATATTCATAAAAACAAAATCCATATTCAACAAATTTAAATATGTGTTTATAGAATATAATATATATACATACGAATAAATATGTGTTCATTAAATGAAATAAATATGCATTTAAAAATAAATGTATGTTCATGAAAAAATATTTTGTTCATTGAAACACATAATTGTTCATAAAAACAAATAACTTTTCTTAAGAAACAAATAATTGTTCATAAATATATAAATATGTATTCATATAAACATAATATATATTTAAAAAATCAAAATATGTGTTAATAAAACAAACATATTATATAAAAAAAAATATACGTTCAATAATTTGCATCATGGACTGCCTTGTATATATGTATTATGTACGTAAATTCCTCCGTTATGCGAAGCATCCCTGAGGGCTGCGAGGGTACAGTGAAATCCGTGCACACTCCCCATCAGGATTAAAAAGTAAAATAACAAAAAGTTACAAACACATCAAACGAATGGAAATGTACAGATATGTCACTAACCTCTATACTACCCACCACCACGGACAACTTGATCCCAAATCCAACACGTGTCACAAACTTATAAACAACCTACCACTACGGACAATACCCAAACCATACGTGTCACTAACATATATAATCATATATACAATCCACCACCAGGGACAATCCTTAACCCAACACCAGGGGAGTGTTAGGACACCGGGGAGTCTGTTATAATGGTGGAGAAAACCGAAGTAATCTGAGAGAACCACCGGCTCCTCGGCAGAAACAGACAAACCGAAAAGATGTCTGCAGATTGATCTCCCATGTCAAAGCCTGGGGCCACTTTGAACAACCAAGGCCCCCAAAGTACCTATTCTAGTTTAAACTCAGATATGGGTACCAGAGATGTGTGTGGGATGGTGAAAATCACCTTTCTAATGTACTGAAATTTCCTGCGCCCCGAGTCAAGATTGAAACCAGGACCTTCAGTACTGTAGAGAAAAGTCTTAACACTGAGGCACGCCTTGTGTAGGTGCGCTGGAAATTTCAGTCCATTAAAGGTGTGCTAATAGACTATCACTCTATGCTATTGGTTTTCTCGATTAAGTTGTATCACATTATGTCATCCTGAACACTTGTATATAGCTAACTATACGGCATGGATGCTGCTCATTGTTGAATACCGTACGGTGACCTATAGTTGCTTACATCCACTTCATTTGGTCTCTTATTGATAGTTGTGTCATTGACAGGTATATCTTCTTTTTTATAATGTATATTCAAACGAACAAAACATGCATGCAGTCTAAGCCCTTCTTCATCATGTTTCGATTCATTAAGTCAAGCTAAATTCAAATAGATTTCTTACGTCGAGTGTAGTCAATTTATTGTAAATCTTTCATACAAACATTTTAAATGCCGGTATACACAATATGATATGGCATAATACATATAACAATGATGGACGGATAATATTTATACATTACGCCGATATCAAAAATTAAAAAAAAACCTTTAAATGTGTAGTGTAGACAATAAACATGGACGTTTTGTTTTAAATTCTTACATTTGTGAGTGTTTTGCTATTTAGTTTTCTAGAAATTGTTCTCCGTAGTGATTATTGTCGTTCTCGTGTCAGTACTTGAAACCTAACAAAGTTTGAAAAAGGATCGTAATTGGGGAGTCAAAATTAAATGTAAAAAAAACAACAACAAAAATTACACGAAAAACGAAACAAAAAAGAAAAACTTATTGTATGCAAATTTTCTTCTACAATTAATTGCATTAAAACGCATCCAGAATACCGGTCGAATCTGTCTTTACTAGGAAGAACACATCTGCGTCAACCGTACTGATATATTGCAAACATTGCCATGCTGAGACAAACGTACAAATTAAAAGGGTGGTGTACAATAAGATTTCGGGTAGCATCTACAAAAGAACAAAACACGAAACGATGACAGTGGTTCAGGATAACATCTAAAATTACTATTTGTATTATTTGCTTTGATTTTAATTTTTGAAGAGTATCACACACAATGACCGCTAGAAATAAATTGTGCCATAAATTAACTGCTATCATATGAGTACATTGTTAATGGATAGAATAGAGAATGGAAACGGGGAATGTGTCAAAGAGATAACAACCCGATCAAAGAGCAGAAAACAGCACAAGGCCGCCAATGGGTCTTCAATGCAGCGAGAAAATCCCGCACCCGGAGGCGAGCATCAACTGGCCCGTAAACAATAATGTGTACTTATTCATCGAAATGGACGCCACATTAATCTACGATACATACAAATGAACCAATATTTAAAAGAACACAGAAGACTTATAAGGCTAGAGGTTCTTGACTTGGGACAGAGGGGTTAAACACGTTTTGTGAGATCTCAACCTCCCCTATAACTCTAGTCGTCAATTTGGAATAAAAAAATACACACAGCAAAATGCACAGTAAAACTCAGTTTAAAAGAAGTTCGATTCCGATGTTAAATTAGGTAGCAGAAGAAAGTAAGCAAAATGACAATGATAAACATGAATTAACAAAGGACTACTAGCAGTTACTGAAATGCCAGCTCCATACTCCAATTAAACTGATTATATGTTTCATGATATTGAAAATCCTTTCACGCTTCTGCTTGCACATATATATATTTCGTATATGCTTCCGATAATTATCATACTATGTATTTGCTCTCAGAGGTTTATGAACCTTATTGCGAACTTAAACATATGTGTTCTCATCTTTGAGAACACATACCATCGTGTTGATCTTACAATGATGTATTTCCCATTTTGTGGTAAAAATTGAAATTAAAGTTTAAAAAGTCAATATTATAAATATTTGACTGAGACATAAAAAGTTATATAGGAATCGAATTAACGTACATGAAGAGTAACTCTTTGTTCGATTGTTTTTTTTTCATAGATAAGCAACTTAGATAAATAAAGCATCCCCTTTTTTTTGAGATAGAACATTTCACTACAAACAATGTAGTTTTAGAAATTTATCCTTATATTTCCATTGGAGATAGACTATGGATTTTTTTAATTTGTAATATCCCCAATTCTGCACTGTGGGATTTGCTAAGAATTGCTCATAGATTGAGTTCAAACCATGCAAACCATTTAATCATAGTACTACTAAGATAACTTTTATACTAATTATTCAACAGCAAAAAATACATAAGAAATAATGGAGATACAACACTATAAAAATATTTTTCTATGAACTAACTAGATGAATAAGCCATTACAATCCAATGGGAGTGTGGAGATAGAATAGTGTAGTTCTGACAAGAACTCGTAGAGTGTAGACATCTTGTATTAAAGTTGTATAGGGAGACATTCCATTGCACTTGGATCTAATATATAAAGTTATCTCAATTTTTATCAAAAGTGGACATATAACACTATAAGATTCACACAACAATATGCTTAACACCCAATACGACGGGTGCCACACGTGGAGCAGGACCTGCTTACCATTCAGGAGCACCTGAGATCATCCCCAGTTTTTTGTGGGGTTCCTGTTGCTCAGTTTTTACTTTTCTATGTTGTGTGTTGTGTACTGTTGTTTATCTGTTTGTCTTTTTCTCTTTTAGCCATTGCATAGTCAGTTTATTTTCGACTTATGAGTTTGAATGTCCTTTTGGTATGGTATCTTTTGCCACTGATTTGCTGTGTTTTTTACAGTTGAATTCAATTTTTGAGTTTGCTCCTTTGCTCATAGATTTGGCGGCTCCAACCAAATTATGTATACTCTACTTTATTTTTTCACATGTAACAAAACATAAAACGAAAAGTAACTATGGCTGTTTATGTTAGCATACCATTTTTTATGTTACAAATAGTGAAAGGGGTTTAAACATGTCTCCAGGCAGAAAACCTATAAAAAGCGAGAATATTGGATAAACCCTTGCATCAATCAACGATGAAATCCCAAAACTGTTGCGCTTTGAGTCTGTTGGCAAATACAATTGTTTGTCTAACGATACCAAAGTGTCACCAGCTATTGCATTTATGATCAGTATTGCCTTATCAGTTTTAGGTGAATATCAGTTTTAAGTGAATATCAGTTTTAGGTAAATATCAGTTTTAGGTGAATATCAGTTTTAGGTGAAATAATTATTGACAATATATCTTCATATTTTTTCAAAATAGATTGGAATGATTCAAATCGATTTCATTTGTTTGTATTAGAACCTATTATTCATAAATATTTTGCTTTTTTGATCAATGAACAACAATATGAGGAACAAGTTTCAGCATATGGGAGTATACAACTCTGATAAACATATATTCTAATATGACGTCCTTCTTTCGCTTTGGAAACACAGCCATGTTCTAATTACAATAAAACATGGGCTGCACGTGATTGACGTCACAATTGGAATTGCAACGTCAGTTGTATTTTGAACAACGGCGGAGGTAGAAATGGACAGTTTAATTGATGTTGCTCGCTAGGAAATTGAATAAAATCATTCTTTAAGTAAGTTTACGTATACATGTTATTCATGACATGGTTCATCAAATCAAAATGGTTGCCGTTTGAATGTGTATTATAGGTCCGCTTCGAAGTACAAAAGTTCTTAATATTCCTATCAGAATCGAAATAATTCTATCATGTCATGCTTAATGCTCATTTTAACATGGTTAAGCATTATATTTGTCAATATTTTACACCTCGCTAACGCTCGGTATAAAGATATTGACAAATATAATGCATATCCATGTTAAAATGAGCATAAAGCATGGCATGAAAGAATTATTTCTTAATTCTGTGGAATTAAGAGCCTTGAATTGTAGTTTGGATTTTTTTTCTTTTTTTCTTACAAACGTTTTAATATAAAAAGATTGCAGTCCTACTTGCCTGAAACGTCTTGGTCCCCTGTTGACGGGGTTGATGGTAATGCTGAAAAATATAAGAAAACTTAAATTAGATATATAGTATTCAACTCTCGGAGGGAAACATTTGTATGTGCACTATATCGTTTCAATTATGAATATAATATCTAAGTATGATATATTCTAAGATAATAAATAGACAATCGAAGTAACATACTTAAGTATTTAGTATGGCTTTTGAAGCGATCAGATGTCTTAACACTTTTTAGTAATACAATGCGAGCTGCTAGATCATTATGCAGTTTTCACTGTATTGGGTTCCCAATTTTCATAAGTTTCCTTATTAACAGCGTTATACTGCTGAGTCTTCCAAGTGCTTCACGAAACCTCTTTTTAAGTTATAAGCCGGGCTTCACAGTTATTGCGAAACTACGTACTCTAGGGGTGGTGTGAATAAGAGGTGGATTCTACAAAATTCCAAAGATCTGTTAGAGAACATACAATCTAAGTCTCTTTTCTTTTGCAATAGTATAAAAGCATTTGTCTTTTTTTGTACCCTTTACACAAATATTCACAATTCCAAGCTAAAAGACAAGTTGAAAGGATTTTCCTTGCTTGTTTCATAAATAAGAATGGCCAACGTTGATACAAGTATCTTGTCTTCTGGAGAGTTAAATCGTACTTTGTAAAAGTTCACACTGATAAAAAAAACTCTGAAATTAACATTATCAAGATTCTTGATTTCTTGAATGACAACATATTTGTTACATTTCGAGGACTTGTTCTTCAACAAACAAACAATAAACTGTGCTCCTTTACTTTCCGAATTGTTCTTAATTCAAATGAGGTTGACTTCATACAGGAACATTTCAGGAAAAGGTGAAAGACGCTAGCATCATAATTTAGCTTCACGCTATATGGATGATGTCCTCTCACTAAATTAAGTATGGTGACTATTTTGAACGATGCTATCCTATCGACTTGAAATAAAGGATACATCATATACAGACTTTTGTCACATGTCTTGACTTACATCTAGAAGTTGACAATGGGGGTCGGTTGAGAACGAATCTTTACGACAAAAGAGATAATTTCAGTTTCTCAATTGTGGTCTTTCCATTTTTATGTAGCAACATTCCAGCAGCGACTGCACATGGAGTATATATCTTTCAGTTGATACGATATTAGCATTTCCTATCATGATTTCCTTGATAGAGGGTTGCTGCAAACATGGAAGCCACTATCCCGTCCTCTCTTTCTCTGAACTAGACATATCACTTGCATGAGCAACACAACGTGTGCCACATGTGGATCAGAATCTGCTTACCCTTCCGGAGCATTTGTGATCCCTCTAGTTTGTTTTAAAGGGGTTTGTGCTGCTCTTGCTTGATTTTTAAAGTGGTTTTCTTTGTTATTTATAGCCTTTTTAATGTTTTTTTGGTTTATACCGGTAATGGCTTACCATTGTCATGAAAAAGTGTTTCAATTTCAAAATTTGACATTCGATCAAGTTTCAGAGTTTGAAAATTTACATGACCTATGGTAAACGAAATTGGTGATGTCTTAGGGTCAGATAAGAGTCATTTACCAATCCGCTATTGTGTGATGTCTAATCACCTGATATAATTTATCAACGTATTTTATAGGAGTAACACTACGGGTGTTACATGTGGAGTAGAATATACTTACCGTTCCGGAGTACTTTGGATCATCCCCAGTTTTTTGTGGGGTTCGTGTTACTCAGTTTTTAGTTTTCTATGTTGTGTTGTGTTTTGTTATTTTGTTTTTTCTTTTGCAGTGACAGTTTGTTTTCGACTTATGAATTTTCCTTTAGAATTTCTGCCTCGCTTTTTTTAATATACTGTAATCAGCATAACTATTTTTTGATCGTTTGAAAGTCATGAAAGTATGGAGATATACAAACTTACGTAATATTATTTCAAAATATGCTTCCTCTCCCGAAATGGCACATTTCCAAGTCACATCATTTTCAGAAATTTCTAATGGACTTATGCGAACAGATATCCCTGTCGAATTCGCTGTAAACGAATAGCTTCCCTTTGATTCGATTGTGCAGAAACCAGTATTGGAACATTCTGTCAAAATGGTTACATTTCTGGTCCACGAGGCAGCCGATGTAAACGATTGTATATCACAGTTTAAGGAAATACTTGAGCCAACAGAAAGGGATCCATAACTTGTTATATTCAACTGTCCTATATTGAAAAATATTGCATTCAAAACTATGTAACCAGGCATGTAATATTCAAACTTCAAAATCTAAAAAACAAATTGATATCATACATGTAATCAGGAACCTATATATATATATATATGATACTACATTTTAAGCTCAATTTGCTTCCCTCGATTAAATTTATAATTTTAAAAAAACATTTGGAATATACTCTGCCAATAAATTAGGTAAATGACTTCAAATCGCACATACTCTAAATAAATGTGACAGTTGTTCAAATCTCATAATCGATTTTTGTCAATATAATGGAACTCTATACGACTGTTTTACAAGTGAGAGGTTAAGCAAGCTATAAAACTAGGTTTAATCCACCATTTTCTACATAAAGAAATGCCTGTACCAATTCAGGAATATGACTGTTGTTTTCCATTCGTTTGATGTGTTTGAGCTTTTGGTTTTGCCATTTGATAAAGGACTTTCCGTTTTGAATTTTCCTTGAAGTTCGGTATTTTTGTTACTTTACCTTTTTTCTTCTCCTACTATGAATGCACCTAACAGTATAAAAATAGTAACAAACAATGTGGGAAATCCGTTGTAGTACGTTAAAAATATTGTTTTTGTGTCTCTCGTTCACCAACTTATATTATTTTTAACAATATTTTATTGAAGGGTGGTTTTTATTCTTTAATTGCTGTTGGATCGACTAATTAATCCTTATAATAAAGTTTTACAACATTTGTTGATTTGCAATGTATATTTTATTTTGAAGACCAACTGGCATATCGACAATGCAGAATGTTATACTAGGCCTTTGAACGTATTTATTTTCGCAGTTTTATCAGTCTTTTAACCAAATTTATTTATTCAATTAGTCCATTTCCCATATCACTTAAATCTTAATACAAGAACAAGTTTTGGTTGAAAAATTTGTTTAGCATCGTATTTTGTATTAGCACCGGGTGATGATGGATCCTATCCCAGTCATTGTCCTTGCCAGATAAAACAGAATTGCTTATATACTAATCAACTGGGCATTTAGAATAAGTCATTTGGAATTAAATAAAAGCACAGATGTTCATACTTGTTCATTTTAAATATTTCATAAGAATATTCACGTTATTGGTTTTGTTAATTGTTGACGGTACGGTGACCCGTAGTATGTATTATATCCCAATATATAAATGGAACCCAACATTTATGAATTCCAACATCCTTATATAATTCATGTCAACCTTTATTTCAATAAATTGTTAAATGAAAATATTTCATTCAGGTGGTATTAATGTGTTTTGGTAAATTACTGGAACTGACTGAATAGTTTTAATAATTGTTTGCATCAATCCATGAATTATCATTGATACGGTCATAATTATGAATTAACTGTTTACAAAACTTTGAATTTGTCGAAATAATAAGGATTTTCTACCCCAGAAATAGATTATCTTAGCTGTATTTGGCAAAATCTTTCGGAATTTTGGGTCCTCCGTGCTTTTCAACTTCGTCAGTGACGTAGCTAAGTAATTTTTAAGTGTACGCCCGAACCTAGGCAAGGTCGCCTGACCTTCAAGCCCCCATCGTGTCAATGGCAGAAAGCAGGTAGGCAGTTGCAGGGGACGAATCCCCCGGAGTATCACACGTTATCGAGAAAAATACTAGTTCGGTCATTAAAAACTCATCAATAGCAACATACTTTGGAGGTTAATTTGTTTAATTTTTATGTTTAATTTATTCATTGTGTTGATTTGTTTTCATGGTTTTCTATAGTTATTGGTTTTAGAGAGAAAAAAAGTCCAACCCAGTTACTGTAAAATATGTTTAAAAGGGGATATGGGGTAAAATAATCAATCGACAACAAGTCCAAAACTTCAAAGATATTAAAAAAGCAAGTCTTCGTTTCAATGTTGTCGTTCTATTGATTATTTTGAATTCATCTAATTTCCCCCCTTACTATGCACAAATTTCGTTAATTAACACATGCAATAGTTAATTTTCATAGATGGTCAGGTGTTATATAAAAATGTTAAATACTTATCGTACTTCAGCTTCCATATATTAAATAAAGGAAACTTCAGTCAAAATATGTACATATATCAAACAATCTTATGTAAAGGTTTGTACACTATTGTACATAAAAGTTACCAGAATTGTATAAGTCATTGCATATGTTCATATGCTAGAACCAGAGAGCATGATTATCGACAGGCAATACTTTAAAAATAAAACACATTTGAAGTACAAAGTCAGTATAAGTACAGCAGAGGCATTTGCCTGTTTTTTTGCGTGAAGCAACTGTTTCTATAACTCCCTTTACAATAGTTGGGATTTCTTGGAGAATATGCATCAACCCTAAAGCGGATAATCTCTACTGGTGCATACTAGTGCGCAAGTAAGTTTTTACCCTACGCAAAACACTAAACAATAATTCTGCAGTAGCTGTAGCAACGGGTATGGTCAGCAGTACGGTGAGTATGTTCAAATACATGTACATGGATACAAGCCTTTGTTTACATTTTTTGGGTCATATTAAAAGTTTCACACAAAGAAGAAGGTTTCTGTGCTGACAAACTTCAATGAATGATCCAACGATCAACCTCGGTTTGAGGAAGTCCAAATCCCTAGGGATCTCATTTTTGTATGCTCTAAATGATTCTTTGAGTTTAGCACCTGGAGTTTGATTCCTGGTGGATTGTATAAGTAACAGGCAGTTGGTTTGAAATCCGAGCTCATTTACATACTGGTATATGAAATTAAAATCTTTGATAAGATCTTTGCCTGATTAAATCCTTCAGACGGTCAAACACCGCCACTCTCATTGTTCATGTGATATGATATATAATGAATTAAAAAAAAAGAAGGAAATTGAGTAGAATTTACAGTACATTTAGACATTGGCAAATGAACAAATATATAATATGATACCATTTGATTAAAAAGTATAATTTTTTTGACAGTTTTATCTTCAATTACAAGTAATTGAAGAAAGAATTACAAGGCTCAAGTGTTTTTAACTTAATTCTTTTAGTGTATCTAGATTATTTTTTGCTTCCAAAACTCATGTGTACTCCAGGGCGTTTTGACGTTAACGTAGCTACGCGTCTGCTAAATCGTACTTTATTTGGCCTGTTTAACTTGTTTTATTCGAGCGTCACTGATTAGTCTTTTGTACACGAAACGCGTGTCTGGCGTACAAAATATTGATCCTGGTATCTATGATGAGTTTATTTACCAAAGTACCGAACTTCAGGGTAAATTAATAAGGGGTGTCCATTAGACATGACGAATTCAATTCCTCGACTATATCAAACAACGGAAGGACGTATTATGAAACCATTGGATACTTTTTCGTAGGATTTTGGGCCCTTAAGTGACTTGAAGAATATTTCTTGGTTTTGACGATTATGTCAAAAACTATGAAGGATAGCTAGGTTGAATCTGTGAACACAAAATTAGTATAATAAGAGCTACGAAAACTGTGAACGCAAAATAAATCAACAAAGACCTGCAGATATGTCAAGTATGACAGAAACCATCAGGTGCCTTTTTACAGGTATTATTGTACAAAAATGAAGAGGTTTTAATAAATTTTGGTGTTTCCATATTATCACGAAAAATCGTAATAGATAGGTGAATAAAGGTAATAGTAGTTTCAGTGGCGGATCTGTTTTTTATTACGATCAATGCTTTTGAATAGGGACATATGGTTGGAACCCTCCCCGTCTTTTAGAAATGGCTGGATCCGCCACTGAGTTTATCTATAATTAACTCGAAAAAATCGACTAAGAAGATACAAACCAATGTAACAAATAAAAACTGAAGGAATCGCATGAACTCCAAAAGGAGTGGGTGCGTCGACAGGGTTAGCGTCTCCTGCCATGGATGCATGATCCGCCATGCGAATCTACTCAGTCAAAATTTGAAAATCGTGAAAAACTGTTAGCATAAAAATTTTAAACACTGTAAAATATATTCTTGACAAGTAAACAAATTGGACTTTTATGAGCCTTTTGATTAGATTAAATATGTATCACTGTTGATAAAATAAAGTATTAAGAATAAAGAATACATTACCAAATAAAACTTTAAATTCCAATAACAGTAGAAGAACTTGTTGAACTTGTCGAAAATTCATATCCACTGATTTCAGTTCCTTAACGTTGACTAATTTCTTCGATTTCTTCAAAGAACATTGAATTTTCTTTGTGAAGGATAATCTGTAATGAGTATCATTCCGATTGCTTATATGTAATGGTCTAAAATATTATTCATACGTTTATTTGTGTTTATCGGTCAAACTATCCAGAAAACAATAGACTATTATTGTGAATAGTGACAAATAACGGAATGCTGTGTCAATTTTAAAACGAAAGTAAAAACTCAATCACTTTGTTTTGGTTTACATTTAAAGCCCAAAGAACATCTAATACTTTAAATATTGATTTTTCTGGTGTTATATTTGTTATGATTAAAACACTTCAACAATTTCAGGGAGTTTGAAAGTTTTTATAATACTGTACTTACTTGTAAAAAGCCAATTTGTATGACAGTTTCGCTTACCACTTAAAACTTGAAAATCCTCATCAAAATAGAAGTACCATAATATGAAAATAAATATTTCGTATACTACAGTAATTATATAAGATGATCATAATTTACCTATCAAAATATGTGTCATGCACATGAAAGAAGTCAAATGATTAATCAACACATTTAAATATCCATAATGATTTTGCATGATTTAAATTCCTTTAAACAAAAGATGAATAGCTGAGGTACCAATCCCTTGATTTCTATTTTGGATTTGTCCAATACTCAATATCATATTCATAATTAATTAATAGAATATTGAAAACAAAGCACTGTTGGACAACGTTTTTTCACTGCAATCCGAAAATAAAATAAGTAGAAGGCAGATAATCACGGTGTTGATACTCGTTTACAATCTGCAATTGAGTATTTAGCGTGCGAAGATCGACATTTTTCTGACTTACCATGCACATAGTCTGTCATCAAGTCTTATATTCATTGTGTCTCCATTGCATATATATGGACCTAAGCGATAGTTTGAAACAGATATAGTTATGATAAGTTTCTTGATACTGCCGTAGTACAAAAGTTTTGTTGAATTCTTATTTCAATCAGGATATCAAATAATAATGGGTTAACGCTCGTAAATTAAAGATAGATGTATTCAACGCATTGATATCATTTAAATACCGTAGAAAGATCTTTTAACGTTTTGTGTTTCGGTCAATTATTATTATTTTTTTATAAGTTAAAACATCTACATCCACATGGGAATCCGTAAAGAGTCGATTGACGTCACAACAAATATGTTGAAAATAAAGTTGTTGTAGTGTCATCCAAAATGCATATGTACAGGTGTTTAACATATATATATATACATATCTATACCATAAGTGGCTAGGTGCCAGTGCAGATAAAAACATTATGTGTGTGTTTACGGATATATGTGTGCTATGAAGTAGGTCTTAAATGCCTCATAGTCATGAATGGCCAATAGGCTAGGCGGTAGATCATTCCAGTTTGTAATGGTTCTTACGAAGAAGCTATGTTTTCGTTGTTCTAGAATTGGGATTGCAATTAGTTGGTGGATTACTTTGTGAAAAAGAAGTAAAACAAATATGACAGACATGAACCAACGACAACCGCTGAACTACAGGCTCCTGACTTGGGACAGGCACATACAGAATGAGGCGGGGTTAAACATGTTTGAGCGCTCCACCCTTCACTTACCTGGGACACTAGTGTTACATCACAACATAAGAACAAACTATAAAAATCGGTTGAAAAGGGCTTATACTTTGACCTATAATTGTTTACTTTTTACACATTGTGACTTGGATGGAGAGTTGTCTCATTGGCACTCATACCACATCTTATTTCTATTAACTCATCAGATCGATACAAAGCAGAAAAAAACAAAATAATTAAAAACAAATTGTTCAGAAAACAAATACGGGTCTTTCCACATTGAATTTCTGAATAATCGACAAGAAACTACCTGCGGCTTACTCAAAGTTACTATTGGCGTCCAATCATAGATTTCTTCAAACTGATTAAAAAACTAAATGGTTTCTATATACTTTTGTCTGAAATAAGGGAGATAATTTGCTACTTCTGATTTAGAAAAAAATCCTTCCGGTCTAATTAGATAGCTTTATTCATACTGATTCCAAATATATACGGTCTCTATATATTTTTGTTTCAAATAAGGGAGATAAATTGTCCCAGTGTAAAAAATTTCACTTTCGGTATTATCTCATAGGTTACTTGACACTGATTTTAAAAACATATGGTTCTATGTACTTTAAAATGAAATAGGTGCAGGAAATGGCGACTTCCTGTTAACAAAAGGTCACTTCTGGCTGACCTTTTCAAGGTTATATGTCTACCAACCTTATGCAAAAGATCCCAGTGCTTTATCATATATAAATATGTATTTATAGCAAAGGTCAAAATCTAGGAACGCCAAATTTATATTCGACCTTGACCTGAATTTCAAGGACATTTAATCAAAGGTTCCTTAGTCTCTACTATATATGGTTAATGAGTTATATCACAATACAGCTGATTTTAAATATTTGAGAGAAAATTCCAATTAAATGTCAATGCGCCTTTTAGACCAAAATATATCTGTTACGACATGTAGCAACAAACTCTAATCAATATTATGTCGATGTTTTTTTTGACGGATTCTGAGAAGATATAGAAAGCCAAAATCAAAATTTAGAACATGACCTTAACCCTTGACCTTTAACTCATTTCATTTTGGTGGAGCAATGACCTCAAATTAAAATACCCTAGGTTTTTATCTCTTATGGTTTGTCAGTTACAAACACATATCACTTATATCAAATACAGAAGGGGGAATAACTCTCATATGGAATCTCTGTATCGCTTTGGTCAAAATTTTACAAAATTTCCTGAGGATATATTGAGCAATTAGGAAAAAAATTGTTGCTTTCATTTACGGTTGTGGAGTAGTAAAGATAATGAGCAAAACAGTGTTCAGGGAGATAGCTCTTACAAGAAAAAATGTTCGGTTAAACGGTGTCAGTTTCAAAAGCGTATAAACTGTGTGATATCATATACTAAATATCTAAGCAAAATCTTGCGAAACAAACACTACTCGGAAAAAATAAAATTGGGGAAAAAAAATACTAAACAATTGAAGGTCTTTCCACATTAAGTTTCTAAATGATTGATAAGAAGCTACCTGCGGGTTACTCAAAGTTACTATTGGCGTCCAATCATAGGTTTCATCATACTGATTCAAAAAATATATGGTTTATATACTTTTGTCTGAAATAAGGGAGATAATAAGCTACTTCCAGTTTTTAAAAGGTCACTTTCGGTCTCAAATGATAGGTTTGTGTATACCGATTAAATAATATATGGTTTACCAGTTACAAATACATTTCACGTACGTCAAATACAGAAGGGGAAATAACTCTTATATGGAGTCTCCGGTAGCCTGGCATCCTGACCCAATCTAATACTTCGTCGATAGCAACATGAACCCAATCATCCTTAGAAATCATGGGGCTCGTTTGTTCCAGAATGACACGCAGTTCCTACTTAATTGATGACGTTCGTGCTCATCTGTCTACTGTCGAGCATTGAGCCAGGATCCCAGGCTAGTCTCCGGATGGCTTCGGTCAGAATTTTAAAAAAATCCTGAGGATATAACGAGCAATTTGGAAAAAAATAATTTGTCGCTTTCTTTTATGGTTTTAAGGAATAAAATTTGCAGAAGAAAAAAAAATAATAATCAGAATAAAATCAATTGGTCTTTCCACGGAAAATGGAAAGACCTAATTATGGATGGAAAAAGAAAGAAAAATAAATTATTAACTTTTTCTACCTTCCTTTCTCACCCATTCATAACAACCGTAACCACCTATCACCTATACCCCTTCTGCTTGGTGTTAAGTCCCTATCAGAAAAGTTGGTTAGTGGATTAATACGATTTTTATAAGATGTACCAGATATGGAAGAACTTACATAGAAACTTAGAAATATGACCGAAATTTTAGAACTATTTGACATGAATTATAAATATATGATACTGAGCGAATTTTGAAAAATGTAAATGTAGTTTTTTTTTTATTTTCTACACATAATGGTCATCCATGGTAGAATTCATACAAAAGATTAACAGCCAAAGTTACTTTAAGCCAAAATGTGTAATGTAAATTAGAAAAGAGAATGCTACGTAAAATTTGATAACCACTATGATTGCCATAGTGTTCTCTTATTTTCGATATTGAAAGGTGTAAAGCATATTTCTGAAAAAGTTGCAAAATAATTTTAAAAAAAAGCATTTGAAACAATAACAAAGGTAAAAAACACAAAAGGTTAATAAGCAAAAAGACAAAAGAAAAAATGCCAAAATTGTTTAAAAAATGCCAAATGGTATAAAAAAAAGTACTTGTCTGCTTGTACTAGCTAGCCGGCCTGTGGGTTAGATGGACTTTTAGGTGATAGTTCAATAAGACAAATGCACACCGTTAGACACCTGCCTTTTCCGTTCGGAGTACCAGTTTTTAAGTCTCCGATTTGACTTGGGCTTGAATTTAACTGTGAATTAAAAAAGTAAAATTGAAACAAAAGATAAAAACAACCTATGTACAATTTAAGATTTGGTTATAAAAAAGGTAAAATATCCCCTTTGACCCCACCATCCCCAAGTGGATAAACCAATAAAAGTATCCCTTTTCTCCCAAATAAAAATTAGATAGAAATTAAAATATCCCCTGCCCCGAAAAGTTTTGGACCGAGCTACCGCGCTCGGTCAGACTGAGCCCCCTCACTCAGTTCGTACCAGTAGAGCAGATACTTGATACGTATGGTAGGGGACGTTACTATACCTAAAAGGGAGGTATAGAATCTGTGAACCCTAAACACAGAGACCGGCTTAACTTCACCATACGTATCATGAATAGTAACCAACTACAACGTGTGTACTTGCTCAAATTTCTTTTCAGTCAGGATTATCGTGTTTCATATTGTAGACAACTATAAAATATACATATCATGTAACAAGAGTTTAACATTGTAGCCATATTTTCGCTTTTCTCTCTTTACAATAAAAGCAGATGCACATGATAATCTGCTTAGTCATTTACCACAGACAATTGATAAGAAAATCTTATTTCATGTATCACAAAAACCATACTGATTAAATGATTTAATATGAGGTCACGGAAAGGTTAAATTATTTCAGCTTAAAATGATCAATTGTAAAGTTAAAGATAAGATGGACCCTGTAAAACATACATGTATTTCTTTCAACCAAATATACCAAACTTATTCCTTAAATTAAAAAAAAAGTATTAGACCCCACTCTATCGTAATGCAATTTGTTTATTTAGTCTGAATTAAGACCAAGGACAACAGGACTACTTCAGATTATTAGGCATCTGTTTATTCATTATACTTATCCGTTCTTTCTTCTGAAAGATGTTTAATGAAAATTTGTTCTCTCTACCAACAGTTTAGCATACATATGTATTGACTTCAATGACACTGGTAAGACAATGCAATTAGAAACAAACGTCTGGTTTAACAAAAGGTCTTCAACAATAGACAACTTTACTGTTTACTATCTAGGACTTCATCCCTTTGTTCAAAGCATCTATGATAGGTTTAAAAGAGAAACCTTTGTGTATATATCACTTGCAACACTAGTGTAGTAAGAACTGCTGATCTTCATTACCACTGGAGTTATAACCCTTAGTTTTGATGGGGCTCATGGTGGTTACTCTTTACGTTTCTTTGTAGCAGTATATTGTTTGTCTGTTTTTTAATCTTTATTTTGAAATTTTCAATCCAAAGATATTTCATTGCTGTCTCATTGATCAACAACTCAAACCTTTTAGTCAGTTTTAGCCAGTTTTAGGTTAAGCCAAAAACATCCAGGTTATTCACCTAAAATGTTGAAATCTGTTTTTCAAAGACAGAACAGCATTATGTCTTGTATGTTGATTTTTCATGCATATGCAAGAAAACAGTTTAGTTTGTAGCTCAGTTTGTTATTTACTAAAATGAGAGACCTGCCAAATTGTCAGCCTACTTATCCAATAAATGCAACTAACTTATTATCCATATACAAATGTGATACAACCAAACATCAACATAGCTTTATGAGTCAAACCAAGAACTGAAAAGGGCATATTGGGAATTTATAAGATAACAATTTTTCAATTCAATTATATTGGAAGTGTCATAAAAAAAGAAATGCATCTCACCTTTAAAGTTGCTTTAATAATTTCTAGGAGGAAAACAATTTTATAAATCGTTTCATAATAAAATTCATCATACAGTAAATAGTAGTTTAATGTCCATAACAAATCACTTTAGTTTCTGCAATACAGCTAGAATTCCTCTTGTCCAATAATACACATGTCCTTTTGGCCCCAATTTATATGGATTCTACATCCAAGTGAATGTTCAGTTTTAACTAATTGAACTGGCTACTAGATAACTGTTAAAATGAGTGTCAGTTCCAATGCTACAGTTCAAATCATTCAAAGATCTAGTCCCCATCGTGATATCTCCTGTTCACAAGAGCTGCTTCTCTCTACAGACTGTGAAATAAAGACAAACTACATATATATAATATAAACTGCTTGTCAGATATGTTAAATAAAATATTCTACAATCAAGCATTCATTATCAAAACTCAGTTAAGAAATGTTCCAATGGTTCACTAGCTTTATTTGGAACATGTGATTTAAATTATACACAATGTCATATCAGTTAATTGTTAAAGGATTTCAAAAGTGACATTTGAACTTAGGTGGATAGTTGTCTCGTTGGCAATCATACCACAGCTCCTTATTTTTATACAATATTGTTAAAGGCCATAGGGTTACTTCTACTTATTATTTTGGTCTCTGGTAGATAGTTTCCCTACTGGAAACTACACCACATGTAATTTTTATATATATAAATGTCTTGTCTGGTTTTATTGTGGTGTTGGGTTAATGTTTCATTGAAACATATCAAGTTATTTTTTTATTTACATTCCACCTTTGTGAGATATTTGTTAAATGGAATTTGGTGGTCTCAGTCCAACTATTTATGCATGATGATTTCGAGATTGAAATATGATATAGTCATTTGTGAGAGAATTCGTGTTCTATTATATAACTGAATTCCTGTAGTGTATATCAAAGACATCTCAAAAATTCAACCAATCCTGAAAAGTAGGTCATGATGACATGAATTGTTAACTTATTAAATATGATACTAGTAAGCTTTCACACAGCCATGTACATCAAACATGGACAGTATTCCACGATAAAATATTGCCATGGACAGTATTTCACAGTGAAGTATAGCTCAAACATTTCATGGAGTCCAATCAAACCTAAATATAATGTATACAGGTTCAACTCCGCCTATTTATACATGTATTATTAAATTAGAAGACGGCATGTGGCGATCAGACAATCTGATTAAATTCAGACCTATATTAACTCGCGTGATCGACTGATCGTATATATGAGTATGACGAAATCAGTGAACTATATTTTAATTAGATTGGGCGATCAGAATTCTTAAACGATAACTTAAAAGACGGCAAGTGTAATCAGAATTCTAAAACGACAGCGATTCTTTAATGATAGATTAGAAGACGACAAGTGGTAATCGGGATTATTAAGCCTTCAAAGAGTAAGGAGGGGCAACACCTTCACAAAAATAAAATAAAATATAGATTATTTTTCTTAGTATTTTTTTGCGAGACAGTCGGAGTCAACCAAACGACAAATATTTCAGTTATTTTTTTACTTAGGCTAACGACTTGTTTGTAACATTGTCGAAATATTCATTTGAATTTGAAATATGACGGAAAGGTTGTCTCTGGTAATATTTTTCATGCACATATACTTCGTAGTCTGTCTCGATATGTATTCAACTTAAATCATTTCTCTAAAAAAAAAATGGTTTCACAGAAACCCGTACAACATCTTCTTTAGGCAACGACCATTTATCTTTAGTGGGGGTGCCTTTTTTGTTCTGGGGACAAACATTGTTTTCGATAAATATTCCGGCAATAACATACAGGAACAAGTTTTTTTTTAAACTCAATGCTGAATTTATTATTTTTTTTATATATACATGATGTATGTGTTTAACGCAAACATTTGCGAATTAGTGCGAACCTTGCGAAACAACGCAAACATTTTGATTTTAATTATTCATTAAGTTTTGTATATATTTTTATAATCAAAAACTATATTGAACTTACATTTTACATTTATTTATATAATGTGAAATCAGTGTTTTGTAAATATCGGCATTTGCATGTCCGTCTACCCGTAAAATTTGGTTGTGATTTAGTTTAGGGAAGGGCCATGAACACAACAAGGCTAAATCATAATCATAAAGATACAAAGACATAATTGAATTCTTGTATCGGAATGAATGGCCATGGTTTTGAAAATTTTATTAACTTAAAGTATCAAAGTAGAAAACAGCAAAAAAAGTCTAATACAATTGTAAAACGATAAAGTCAAATAAACAAAATGATCTTTCGGCTTTAAAATTAATTATTCAGAATGAATAGTTTTGAAAATTGACGAAAGAAATCGTTTGTTGAAATCTCAGAATATGATAAAGATTCTTTGATAAAAAATCAAGAGTACATAATTATGATAATACAAAACTTTCATCTTATGTCTGGAGTAAAAAATTTTAATCCAGGAGTCGGTTTCACAAAACAAAAACGACTAAGATTGATCGTAAGTCATGAACAATTAAGTATACTTGCGATCAATCTTAGTCGTAAGTTTTTATGTGAAACTGACTACTGGTATCTATGATGAGTTTATTTATTTCAATAGGGGTAGCTTGTGTGGATCTAACCAATCTCGCACAATGCTTATACGGGCGCTTAATTGGGAGTACATTAAAATTCGGCTTCATTAAATGGTTTTATTTTTAGTTTTCTTCGGTATATCTTCAATTTACTAAATTTTCTTTGAAATATTCTACTGCTAATTATTATGCCATGATATGTGCTAAATACATGCAACCTCCTCCATTTACAACACCTGCTTCTTGAATAAGAAATAATTGGTAGAACAAAGGTTTGCATTATTTCACACAGGTTTGTCAAGTATAACGAACTGAATGTTTGCGTTATTTTGCAAAGGTTTGCCTTATAACGAAAACACTTGCGTTTTATTTGGCAAACAATGTGTGAAATAACAAAAACCTTTGCGTTATTTCACAAACAATAAATTATAACGCAAACATAGGAAGAAATGTAAAAAAAAGTTTGTGTGGAGCCAAACCAACCCTTTAGATAAACTTACGCTTCCGTACGTACGGCAGAAATGCATC